AGTGCCTACTATGTGTCAGGTACTGCCCTAGGCAGTATGGCCACAGCCATGATGAATGAGATAAGATTACTTTTTAGTGACTACTTTTTAGTAGAAGAAGAGAGTCACTGTAAAATATACAAATAAACACATATGTCAGGTGGTCATAAGTGCTAAGGAGAAAACGGGAACTGGGTGCAAGGAGACAGAGAGTGACGGAAGGGAAGGAGTAAGTGACACTGCAGATAGGAAAGTCAGGACAACCTTTGGATGGGGCAGCATCTGAACAGACACCTGAAGGAAGCAAGGAAGCAAGGAATTCGCCACACAAGCACCTGGGAAGAGCAAGCCAGGCCTTCTGTGGGAATGTGCAGAATGGTCTGAGGTACAGCAGGGGGGCATGCAAGGCGGAGCAAGGTGGGGAGAGGGGAGGACAGCCTAGAGGGAGCCAGGCAGGGCCTCACAGGTCAGCGCGAGAACTCCAGATTTTACTATAAATGAGATGGGAAACCATTGGCCACTTTTGAGGAAAGTTCTGACATACATTTTAAGTCTGGCTATTGGGGAAGAAAAGACTACAAGGAGGGGAGCATGGTAGCAGGAGGCCATGCAGAGCACCAAAGCATATATAAAATAAGTCACCTTGTCCAACAGTATATTTTTGAGCTAAGAATGCAATAATCCAAGAAATGCCATCTTGAGGTAGATCTAAGGTCTGTTGGGGAAGCTATTTCAGCTGACATAGGATAAGCAATGTCCAAGTTGCCCTTCTGTAAAGAGTCGAGCAAAATATCTTTATCTACATGACTCACTGTGATTCAGAAATCTAGAAAGTTTTTAATAACTATTACTATTTTACATTTTTTATTTCTAATGCAAGTATGAAAATAACACTTTCTTGAATTATAATTAAGTAAGTAAGTTCTTTATAAAAAATTCAATCCATGAAAAGTATAATGAAGAAAATATCACTTGAAACCTCATTATCCTAAGATCACCACCATTTACATTTTGGTAACCATCCTCACAAATATCTCTACAAATATATCCACACACACACACTAATCAGCGCTACCAATAGGTATACAGTATCACAATTCTCTTCATCTGATTTGCCTCACTTAATAAGAAATCCTGAAGAGCCTTTTGGCCATCCCCTTTGTATGTTCTGCCACACCTACTGGGGCTAACAAATTCTGTAATTTTACTACCTGTTGAATATAGTATTTCTTTTATGTGTCTTCAAACCCTCTCTCAACCTTCAAGGAGTAGTTCCACATTTTTCCGGCTCTGTCCTACTCACACGGAACCAAGATTCTAAGGACTCTGATCACTGTCCTCCCAAACTTCTTTCATTTTAGTTGAACAAATCCTATTTTTAAAATCTAACCTCATGCAGTTGTTCTAGATAGTCGATTAAATTCATTGCCTTCTCTGCATTTTCTCAACCTCTGCTTGATTTTTATTTTCCACTAAGCTCCATAATGTCTTGAGAGCAGAACTTCAGGGATATCCAGTTCAAGAAGTCACAGTTTCACAGAAAGTCTCTGCAAAACAGTTGGTGGTGACTTCTAGCTCCTTTATTCTGTACCACTAGTCAGGGAATCACTTTTACAATTAGTCATGATTTTTCCTTCACAAATGTATTACATCACACTTGACCATACTGAAACTTTTCTGACACTTCCTACAGAAGCAAATGTCTCTGCAACACCTTTGGAATTATATATTTATAAAAACAGAAAAGAGACTGGTTCTAACAATGATTCACTCCAAAAACTACTCATCATACCAGGCCCCATTTTTCTAGCTTCCTATCCAAGATCAAACATAAACCCCGATCCCAAAATAATTCCATTATCTTTCAGTAGCTCAGAAGTATTCACATACAAGAAATAAGAGTCCTTTTGGAAGGGAATTCTCTTTCGTCATTAAGTTTCAAATTTATTTCCAGATGTTCCGTATGAGCCCTGAATAGAAGACATGCACTTTCCAAGCTGTTCAGGCCGCGGACATACGCCAGTTTTGAAGCTCTGCCGTCATCTGGCTTTGATCTGTTTCCGAGGTAAGTCACAAACCTTAACTAACAGCAAAACAGTGGAGGGTCCATCCAGCCCTGTCATAGTTCTCAGTTATAGTTGAGAACCTTTGGATGGAATATCATCACAGCTCAAAAACACCACTGCAAATGTAGCCCAGGAAACGGCTACTCCTTCCTCTTTCCAACATCAAGGCTTCAATACATTTGGAGTCAAGCCCATTGTAGAGACTCGTGGGTGATATTTAGGATAACTGACTCATGAAACAGTTTCCAAGTTGGTACTTACAGGGAAAACAACCAAAAACCCACAACCCTCTCCCCCACCAAAAAGAAAACCATAGAAAAAAGAGCCAGGGTATTATTTTCAATTCATTTTGGTTTATAATATTTACTATATTTACCTTATTGCAGAAATAGTTCATATTTATCATGGGAAATATAAAAACTGATCTATGGAAGATCTAACTGAGCAGGGGCTGAATCATCTTTTTGTTCTCTGCTCTAAGGCCATCACTCAATACAATACAGCACAGAAAATAAATACTCAATAAATATTTTTTGCAATCAATGTTCAAAAAGGACAAGGAAGAAACAAAAAATGACCCATAATCCCACCACCCAGAGGACCCTACTGTCAACAGCTTGGTGTATTTTTTCAAGTCTTTTCTTCTCTGTGCATATTTAATATTCTTGGGCTCTTGGGCTGTACAGTTTAGAATATAAGACAGCAATGTTCAACAGCTTAATCCCACAGTATTAACATCTCAAAAACAAGAAAACAAACCTGAATACAATACAGCTTACAATTGTGGCTATATTTTAAAATCATGTGATGTTTTATTACTGGTTCCATATGAAACGTTTTACAACATTAATGGCACTAGTTGACTTTAGAGTGGTATGTCATGTTGTAAAAAAGAAGCATCTTTTTCTAACCTCCTTCAACCAATTATCTTGTGCCCTAAAGCAGAGAAGTTAACACCACTTTTCCCAACTAACCTGGCACCAGTGCTTACCTAATTTCAGTTTGTGGATGTTTCACATCAACTAAAAGAAAAAAAAGGCAGTTAAAACAAGCCTGATGGTTTGATTTTAAAAGAGAAGTTACATGAACAAAGGCTGGAGAAGTTCATCATACTGAGATTATGTCTGGGTATCTGAATTAGATACAAACAGGAACAAGACCTAGTGATTAACTGTGGAACAGCATGTGTGCACAACTTCGTATCCCTGCTTCACATCCTGCTCAGTCTGGATTAACAATATCCAGAAACAACTCTTATTTCCCCAAGGAATCTTGTGAATTTCCTGAATGAAAAAATAAATAAATTTAATTACTTTGCATTTGTACTTTCTTTAATAATTATACTCTGAACAGTAAAATATCCATTCAAAGTGCAAGGCCAACCTACGGACTTCAATGGAGGAGAGAAGGAAATATTCACTGATGTGGTTTCAGGTTCCACATTGCAATTAACCTTTAAGAAACTACCAATTGTCAAGCTCTGGCATCGTATCAAAGCAGAATACTTACTATTCTCTGAAAAGGTTATTAACATACCTCTCCATTTTCCTACTATATATATCTGTGTGAGACTGGATTTCCGTCATCTACTTCAACCAAAACAACAAATCTGCAACAAATTGAAGGCAGAACAGGGTTCAGCTGCCTCCTATTAAGCCAGATGTTAAAAATATTTGTAAAACTTAGAAAACAATACCACTCTTTTCACTTAATTGTTTTTGGGAAAATTGATCTTTTTCACAGAAATACATTACTTAACAGGTAATGGATTTATTATTGTTATTTTTATATGAATAAGTCTTCTAAAAATGCCCAAGTTTTAATTTCTAATACAGTAAATTTTGATAGATAAATCCCACAGAGAAAAGCTTCTTGGGGTCCTCAGATTTTTTTAAGAGTCTAAGGGGAAATGAGGCCAAAAAGTTTGAAAGCTACTATCATACTTTGTACAGAGTGATCCTAAACTGCAGAATGCTGGTGCAGGTGGACAACGTGGTAGAACTCTACTATGATGCAGCCACAACCCATACACTTATTTACTTCATTATTCAGGAAGTCAACAAATAATAAACGCTGGAGAGAGCATGGAGAAAATGGAGCCCTCCTACATTGCTAGTAGGAGTAGTTTGGTGCAACCATTATGGAAAACAGTATGGAGATTCCTCAAAAGACTAATATACTCACCAAATGATCCAGCAATCCGCTCCTGGGCATATATCCAGAGGGAACTTTAATTTGGAAAGATACATGCACCCCAGTGTTCACAGCAGTACTATTTACAACAGCCAAGACAGGGAAACAACCTAAATGTCCATCAACAGATGACTGGATAAAGAAGTTGTGGTATATTTATACACTGGAATACTACTTAGCCATAAAAAAGAATAAAATAATGCCATTTGCAGCAATATGGATGATCCTGGAGATTGTCATACTAAGTGAAGTAAGCCAGAAAGAGAAAGAAAGATACCATATGACATCACTTATATGTGGAATCTAAAAAAAAAGACACAAATGAATTTATTTACAAAACAGAAACAGACGCGCAGACATAGCAAATAAACTTATGGTTACCAGGTGGGGAAGAAGGTGGGAAAGGATAAGTTGGGAGTTGGAGATTTGCAGATACTAACTACTATAAATAAAATAGATAAACAACTAGTTTCTTCTGTATAGCACAGGTAACTATATTCAGTATCTGGTGGTGACCTATAATGAAAAAGAATATGAAAACAAATATATGTATGTATATGTATGACTGAAACATGCTGTACACCAGAAATTGACGCAACATTGTAAACTGACTATACTTCAGTTAAAAAAAAACAAACCACATTGCTGAATGCTACCAGGTATTGGGCTTAGTGCTAG